TCCTAGATGGGCCACCTAATGCTTAACTTAAAAAAAAAAAAGTGTTCAGAACATTAACCTGTCTGCACTCCTCACTCACAATGTTCTTATTATTCCCTCTGTTATTTTGCACATTTCTCTGATATTTTGCACATTCCCTTGCACATTTATACCTCCGGATGCCATTTGCACTGTTATGGTCATTGGCCATATATAAACATATGCTATTTACATACCTCACTGTATAATGCACCTTCTGTTTATACTCACTGTATAATGCACCTTGTGTTTACACTTTGCACCCTATGTTGTATGTACAGTAATTTGCATTGAGCTGGTCTCTGCCCTTCTATCTCATAACTTGCACTATAAGTCATAAAGCTTAATGTATATACACGATTGTGACAGAAGAACCGACCAAAACAGTAACCTCCGTGTGTCTAGCCTCTGTTTTGTTTCACGTTTTTACCCAGTGTTTTTTTTTCTTCTGTTGTTCCCAGGATGGATGCCCTTCTTCGCCCCGAACACCTCCTCCTCCTGCTGGAGCAGGGGGACAAGGCTCTCTAGGACCATACTAGACTGTTCCAGCTGCTAGCAAGCACAACCAGCTACCCGGCCGACGTGCTCTGTGCGTTCTATGACGCCAATCTAAACATCGAGTGCAGAGCGCTGTCATCCGAAGATGGTCCTCGAGAGGATTTCAGCGCGTTTGTGGAGTGGGTTCTGGCAAGAAACGGGTCACCTCTCACTGTCACTCCTGAGGATGATCTCGCCAGATCCACTCCGGACCCAGAGCCCAGCCCACCATGTCCCCGCTGTGCGGAGCTAAAGCCGGAGCCCACCGATGACGGAGAGCCAATTCCCGCCGCGATCAATGAAAGCTCACTAGTACCACTCCCGACCCAGAGCCCAGCCCACCATCTCCCCGCTGTGTGGAGCTAAAGCCTGAGCCCACCGATGACGGAGAGCCAATTCCCGCCGCGATCTATGAGCCAGTGCAATGCCGAGCGACTGAGCGGAGGATCGCCCCGGAAGTAGAGCCCAAGGCGTCAGACCAGGTGCGAGAGCCGGCGACAATGCCCGCCATGAGGGAGAAACCCGCGGACTGTGTCAGCGCGGAGAGGAGCTCCGCCCCCTGCAGCGTGGCTGAGGGTGAGCTGAGTATGGTGCGACGAAAGTGCCAAAGCAAAGAGGAGAGGGCTCCAGTCCCCGAATCCAGTCCAGAGCGCCCTCCAGTGCCCGCTCCTAGAAAGCGCCCTCCAGTGCCAGCTCCTCGTAAGCGCCCTCAAGTGTCCGCTCCTCCTGAGCGCCATCCTGTTCCTGTGTTCAGCCTAGAGGGGGCTCCCGATCCAGAGTTTAGCCCTGAATGCCCGGAGGCTCACAAATATCCGCCCTCCAACCCGCTCCCACCTCCTCAACCGCTATTGTCTGGCAGCACCTCTGCTCGCCCTCAGCCCACCATCATTACGGTGCGAGCTCTGCGGGTCTGCCATCCTCCAGCGTCGCCATGGTTGGATAATCCCTCACCTCCGAGGCCCGGACTCCGCCTCGGCCCGTAGACCCAGCGGCTCCACCTCGGCTCCAAGCTCCCTCACCTCCACCGTCACCAGTCGATCCACGAGCTCCTCCGTGGCTCCTCTCTCCGTCGGCTCCACCGTGGGTCTACATTATGGCCGTGGCCTGGGTCCTGCTTGGCTCCTCCTGCTCCGTGCCCCTCCTGTTTCCTCCCTGGCTCCTCCCTCCTTCGTCACCTCCCTGGTCTCTGTCTGCCGGCCCCCTCTCGGGTGTCTGTCCTCCTCCGGAACCTCCTCCCAAGTTCCCACCCCCGCCTCCCTCTGTTGTTGCTATGGTGCGAAGACGCACCTTCCGGGAGGGGGTGTAATGTCAGGATCATGGACTGTTTGTGTCATGTTTTGCCCCTGTTTCGAAAATTGAAGGGGGTCTGAATACTTTCCGTACCCACTGTATATACAGATGTTTGTTGATCAGTATTTTATAATGGCTTTAAATGAGTCTGAACTATCACCTTTATCATTACATGTGGGATTGTGATTGATGGATGACAGAATATGATGAAGAGCTCTATTGTATGTGGCATGTGTGTTGTTTGTGAGTTAGGTAGAGTGGACAGCTCTGTTAGTGTGTCATGTAATTGGAAATGTGGTCACAGTTGGTTTGATTTAATGCAATAATTGTGGTTTCATAACCATTTTAAGCCAAAAAAAAGTTACAATTAATAAATTGTCTGTAACAAATTACGGTTTTATTTATTTATTTAGTTATTAGTTAGTTAGTCCAAAGTACAGTATGCATGTATGTTTATTCATTTATGCATCAATCCTATACCACAATCTTGCCCAAAACATTTACTATTATTTTTACAGTCAAACACATCAACAAGACCTCTATAATAAATGCTTACAATACATGAGTTTCAGATTAGCGTTTGGCTATGAAACATCGAGATGTGTGTGTGTGTGTGTGTGTGTGTGTGTGTGTGTGTGTGTGTGTGTGTGTGAAGCAAAAAAAAAAAGAAAAGAGTTTTAAATCTGTCCCATGTCAAGGTCATGTCTTTTATTGGATGAGTTTGTGTGAGAGAGCTGTCCAGCGTCATGGTGTAGTGTATTCTTGGCCTTCAGTGAGTCCTCTGATCTGAGAGTAAATTACTGCTCTGTTTTTATGTGTTTCACCTTGGTTCAGGAAGAACAGCTTTTGACTTCACACTTGAAAGAAGACTTTCAAAAGCACTCCGGGTGCTTTATAATTTTGCCTTTCTAGATAGCAAGATTTGTACAGTTCAATAAACTTCAATGTGTGGTCTCTTTTCAGAGGGATGAGCTACCTATTTTAATTTATTTATACATGGCATATAATATTCTTGAATGTACTATGTACAGAGCTGTACTGTAGTAAACTTAAGAATC